TTTCTATTGCTCCTGGTTCCTTCTGTATTGCAGCATGAGTCAAGACGTCTGGTATTATGTTGACGTAGTGAGTAGATGATGGTTCTAATGAGACATAATGAATTGTATTTTAAACTGTTATCATAACCATAGTGATTAAAAGTTCTTTATTCACTTCTTTTAGATCCAAATTTATTGAATTTTATTATTAATTTCATCTACAGGGTGATTCAAAATTGGCGTCATTCCTCTGAAGGTGTTGTCTGTCGCTGTTATAGGAGTACAGAAGAAATAATAAAAGAAATTAATTGTTATTAAAAACTATATCAGAAATACAGCAGCAATGTTTTCCAAGGTAACCTGCCTAATTAACATTGCACAAATACCTGTTGCTTCGTAATTATTAAAAACTCCGGTAACCATGCAATTATACAGAGTGACAATAAGATAGACAAGGATAAACGGTCAATTCAACAAGATTCGTTGACTGCGCAACGTACTTTCGACATGTCAACCTGTTCTCATAACCTCGAATTCTGTTGGGTTTGGTGTTTACACAAATAATCCATACAACACCAAACATTTGAATGGTTAACTGCAAACAAGCTAGTGCCTGTGTAATCTCCTTATTACCCTTATCAAGCAGCTTCTCGTATTCAGTTAATTAACTCGTTAATTGCTGTGTGTATCGTACAAACGTGGTAGGAATGTAGCCCTTCCTCGGTATTTATGTGGTATGTACCGTATGGGTTGGCTTCTGCTATGTCACTGTAGCATTGCCCCTGAACTAAGCGCATATCCGCAAATTCGTGAAAGGAAATTCAAAGTAAGTTACAGGTTGACAAATTATTGTTTTTATTGACAAGGGTTATCCACCTGTAACTATCTGCTAATGACAGCAAACATCATTGTCGTTGTGATTTTTCATCAAAAAATTGTAGAAGAGAACTTTTTTGATATCAAAAATTTTCGTAATTTGAAGCAAAGATCGTAATTTTTCTTCTTGAATTCTTAAGTATTCCAATAAGCTACCAATTAAACATGGAACAATTTCTAAATAATGCTTAATAACAAAGTTGAAATTTGATCTTCAACTGTTAATATCTTGGAAAAAAAGTTTTTCAATATTTTTCTGGTACTCCCCAAGTGAGCCTCTATCACCCTTTAAAAGGAATGACGCCAATATTGAATCACCCTGTATAGAATGAGCGAAGGAAAAATTGAACATCCGTAAATAAGCAACCGCAGATCTAACGTGACAACATGGCCCAGACACAGCCCTTATCCGTCGCGCCCTAAGAGCGCGCCGACGCAGCCTCCCTTTGGGCATCGCCGTCGCGGCGCCGACACGAACCGCTCCCATTTCGCCTTCGCGCGTCGAGCTGCTCGCCGCCCTTCGTACCGATACCGCGAAAGAGCGACCACGATGCGCCGGGCAGGGGCGGGGCGACGGCTGGTCGCCCTCGCCTGACAATCCGCGAGTGCCGCCCCAAAACGGGAATTTGGACGGTAATTATCCATTTTTTCATTCAGGTTGCTGTTGTTGTTGTTGTTGTTTGCTGCCTATATCAGTGCTGTGTCTTAACGAACATCTAGACGCCAAAGAACGCATCGGCCTTGTTTACGTAAAGGGTGGCTTTTCAACTATTTTAAGGTGCTTTCCTGCACACCACCCGCGACACTTGTAAGCTCTTTCCAGCATTAGTTCTATACGCCCTTTTCTTAAACAAAGGCGAACAGTTGCTTTTGCTTGCTTTTCTAGTGGCATGCTATTGACATTCCACGTAAGTACATGTGGGGTTGAGTGCAAACAGCAGGAACTCTATTAATCTAAATGCTTACGGAGAAGCTAAGAAACGGCATTAAGTAGCGGGTGATTAACCGAAAAAGTCAATACATTTCAAAGGCTTTGCGTCTCCAAGCAGGATATCTACCATACATCAACAGCCAAACAATTTTTCAAATATATTATTTAAACAATGGTGTGGGTCATACACTGCAAGGTTATGAACGAATATCGCAGAAGTGAAGAAACAAGTGTCGGAAAATAGCTGCGAGGTGAAAAGTAAACAAAGACCAAGCATTATCCTGCTGACACACCTTAACGCCAATAAGATATATTAGTGTCTGTTGTCAAGATCACATTTTCCAAATTGATCGAAAGCATGTTCTATCAGCATTATCTTTTAGGCTCATTCAGGCATAATCGTCGTACATAACTGTACGGTTTCAATTAATTAAAATCATAAATAATGTGCATTATCTATAAACGCCAGTTCATTCAATTCATCCTATATACAAGCCGAAATTTCATATTTGCTATATGGCAATTAAGCTCGATTTGTAATTAGTAATTGTTTAAATCTGACTTTAATTCGATCATAATTTTGGGCTGAAGTTTTTTCTGCTGATGCCAGCTTTAATACAAATTTTCGGTCTTTCATCCAAGATTGAGTGTGTGCCTCACCCAAGATCGAGCCATTGTTCTTGCGCTAATATATAAATATTTCATTAAACAACAAATAATAGTTGAGTTAAATTTCATTTTGAGGTCCTAATTTTGGAGGAACGTTAGCACGATAGAAAATCAGTACGATATAATGAAATTAAAGCTAGTGAATATAAAAGAAAAGAAGCATGAAATCTGCAAAATAAGTGAGTTGACACCAATAAATTAAGAGTGCGAAAATAATTTTTATTCCAAATAATCAAGTAATTCATTCACTCATTATACAGGGTTATTCTCGCTATACGGCACGGACGTTTGCGGCTAGCCCGTTTCTTTTTTGCAAAGTATTATTTGATGAATCCACAGACGCTTATCGGGTGCACATTTAAAAAATATTTTTGTAATTTACAGAGGTGCACAGAACGACTATTTGACGTATTTTGTAAGAAGGCGAAAACTTAGCTATTAACATCCTAATACCATTCGATAGGTAATTAAAAATTGCATTTCCTGGTAAGTTCAAAGCTAAATATTGGGTTGTATTTAAATTAATCACGTTAGAGCCACTTAAAGTTCTTATTTGATTAGTTTAAATTTGTGGACACCCTATATAACATGGTAAGTTTTTATTTTTTTAGAAACTTCTTTTTGGGTATTTCGCCTCAAAAATTTTTGTCTTTAAAAAAGACAGAATTTCCTCACGTCTTTTATTACAGATTGATAAATA